ACTGCACTACACAGCATTTCAACCGAGTCATATAAAGAGTTAATTAGGGAGGTAAGAACAAACTCAAGTGGGTGTTCTGAGCAAGTCTGCAAAGGGATTCCTGAGCTGCAGACCAGCTTTTGTTTAGGTTCAGACCCACTTGCTTTGGAATGCTGGAAGTGCTGCACAGGCACAATGAAGACTTTCTCTCCCTCCAGCTATTTCTGCCATTTCTTTGCACTTTGTCCTACGTGCACACTGATAGAGCTTTATGTACAGAAGTATGTAATGGACAATTCTTGTTCAGGAGGCAACAAATCACAATTCATCCTACAAATAACAAGCAGCTCCCTAAAAGTCAGTTTATATAATATTGCAATAACTGGAACATACCATCTTACTTCTGTAGTGCCAGAAAACACACAGATGATGTAATATACCTATTTCACCTCTAAATTTCTGCACTTTTCTTTTTCAAACCCCTTGCAAACCAATTTATGCAAAACAGCTAGGAAAAAAAATTATCATTATTGGTTTCATCTGCAGGTGAGAGGCAGGAAACAATTTTTGTAAATATTTCTCCTCTTCTATTGACACACTATAATAGTAGTATTGGGGCAACCTTCCCCAGAGCATATGAGCAAGCATATCTTCACATGCTGAGGAACCACAAGATATGAATTGAACAGCTTGCAGAGTTCAGGAGAGCTCAAGAATTGTGCAAAGGCAAGAGAGGACAGTGGAATGCTAAAGATCCAGCTACAGGCCTTCAGTATTCAAGAGATTCGTCAGCTAAGAATAATACCTCTTAGGTATTAGCAAAGTACTTCAGCACATGCTTCATTCCATTGCTAGTGATCATGACGCTCAATGCAAGCTTCTTTTAGCCAACTGCCTGGGCATTTGCCTAAGCTGCAACAAGGCAAACAGGACACTAACAGAGGCTCAACAGACTTCTGAAAGAATAAAAAAAAATCCTACAACACTGCTGAAAAAATGCATATGCATTTAACACAGGCATAATAGCTAAACCGTAGTTACTGTTTGCAGGAAGTTAAAAATTTGTCCATTTCCTTTAGATTACCTTTCAATTAAGAATATGCTTCATGGTTATTTTTAAAAAGCAAAAAAGCAGTCATTGGAATAATTTATTTGTGAACAGATGCTCCACTTACCTGCATAAATTCAAGAATAAATATACACTATTTAAGTATTTACTGCATACAGTGAACCCAAGAAGCACATTTAGATGATGATCAAACATGATGGCTACCTCTACTAGAAAAAACTAGTATCACTAAATATATGATAAGATAAAGATAAGAACTAGTGTAATGACAGTTAATTATGGATTATATTTTCACTGACAAGGTATTTTTAATACAACTACAATACAAATATATTCAGCCCCATTAATGCTAGTAAAAAATATATGTATCAGCCCAAATTGTAAGCCAGCAGAAAGCTAAATTGATCTCACAATTGCTGAAAATTTGGCCAAAGTGATGACATTAGCTCCTGTGAGAGCCCAGCCAAAACTTTTAGTGTTGTCTACTTCATGACCGTAGGCAGTAAATGAGAATGTATTTCAAGCAAATGAGTCCTGTGTTGAATACATGAAATTCCAATTAAAATCTTGGGCAAACCAACTTTTTTTATTTTAAATGCAACAAACCAGCTCCTCCTCCTACAGATCTCTCCTGTGGCACAAATTCATCTGCCACAGACATCAGTTACACAATTCCCTTCCTCCTACCCAATCTCCAGAAACACCTGATGTGCAAAATCACATCTGTAATCTCCAGAGCTTCCCAAGAGAAGAGCTCATTTTCCTCTGCACAAGCTGTCAACACTCAAAAAAGAGCAACAGCTAACAACAGTTCTTCTTTGAGCTCTCTCTCTCTCAGCTCAATTCAGACAACTTCATGGCACAGAGCCACAACCTGAGGCAGTATAAATCCCACTCTCATCAACTTCAAGAAAGATTTTCCAGAAGCACTTGAAAGAATCCAGGAAAAAAGTTGCAATTGGTTTTGACAGTCTCATCCTATGATACTAATTTACATTTTTTAAACATGTGGCCCAAAATGTTTTGCTTTGAGAAAGGGGTTGGGTTTTCCTTGCTGCTCTTATGGCCTTCGTAGCTGCATTCTATTGCAATGATTCCTCCCGGTTCCCAGCCTTTAGCGTTCCCTCGGGAATATATCTGGTAAAGATTAAAGAATAAAATACTTAGGATCGCTTGGTGCTGCTGAATAAAGGAGCCTGGTTGAAAGCCAAAAAATAGTTGATAGGCAACTGCGCTAGAATCACCCACAAAAAGGATAATGCTAAGTTACAGGGCTACCACTGTTTCTTTCTTATTAGTATGAATTGCTTTGACAAGAAAAATAATTTTTTGTCTCACAAAAAGATTCAGCATACATCACCGCCTTCTTAAGAGGAATTCAGCAGACACAAACATTTCCTCTAGCAAAGCTGCATAGACCAAATTCTGTAATTCTTCTAAATTGTCTTTTCTCCTACAATCCGCCTCCCTCTGAAATCCACTGTCCTTAAGAACATGATTTCAATCTAAAGACTTGCCTATTTTAGGATCAATGACCAGCACGAGGTGCTTCAGAGATCTATGGAAATAGAACTTTCAATGCCAGATATGAAAATATGTATCTCTTTCCTCCTGCTAGATATAATCCTGATCTCTGCTAGTTGCTGGATTAAACCCTAAAACTGAGGTTTAATTGGGATATGATTGATACCATTTAATAAATGGCAGATCTCATTTCTACCTACATTCAAAAGCCAGTTCTTGTTGGCCATCATCTGTCTACCTGTCTTGCAAAGAAAAGTGATAGACATTCCTTTTAAATTCCAGTGCTTATCTCTTAAACCACCAAGACTTTAAGACTTCTATTCCTTTTCTCTCTCATCTGTGTTTATGCGTCTTGTCAGTTTCATTTTTACATGTATGGTTTCCAATCTACATTAATTGCCAAAAGGAGCTACAAGCCACCAAACTGCTACTCACTGAGGATGTTCCAGCTAATTAATTCATCTCTCAGGAAAACATCTCTGCTAACCAGCGTTGGGAGGCGGCTAAAAATGCAACGGTCAAATTTAACACAGGCAGGTTTGCATTCTTTCAGAAGAGTGTTAACTTTTATTAGACACATCTTCAAACTAAACCAGATACCCATTATCTGTTGGGGACAACAAGGAATAAGAATAAGCAAACAGTCTAATACTGGGTTCCCACTGCATTTGGACATGAAAATCTAAAAGCAGGAGCGCAGTTTCTGTGTACAGCTGCTTGGTTTTATACTTGGAAACCTACTTATGTTGGAAATATGTCACTTTTCAAACACATAGACCTTACATTCTTACAGATACAATGAAAGGCACACAGCCAGGAACACGGATGCATCTGTTGGTTTCTGTAAAGGCACCAATGTTATCATTCTTTATTAACAAATCATGGATGATATGCACATTATCCGTGGTTTCAAAAGCAGATAAGCATGTATCTCCAAATATGCTTACTGATCTTTGAAGACATTTTAAACTTCAAATATTTAGCAAACCAACAATTGAAACATTCCCTGCCATGAAAGATTCAGTTGAAGATCAGAAGGGATCACAGGCATTTTATGGGAAATGTGCATACCCCACTTAAGCCACAAGTCAGACAACGATTCAGAGCCAGTTTGTTACTGATGCAAACTTGTGCTGTTTGAAGGTCTGGTAAATAAGAGTACTCTTATATTGTCCTTCCAATCTACCTGTGATTTTTGCCATGTCCCCATTTTTTTGCCATACCATTATTATTTACAGCTACAGAAGACAATACATCAAGATTCTAATCAGCACATTAGGTGAGGGTACTATTTGTATTTTTCCTTAACTTGAGGGTAGAAGTCAGTTTCCCATCTATTTAAGCGCATCTCAAAAACACTCCAATCCTTTATTCAAGTATAAATGTCACCAGTTACATGAAGATACTATGCTGTCTAGCATGTCTGGGGAAACACTGGTAACATTAGAGTCATAATCTTATGTTATCATGCAGCAAAAGGTTTCATAACAATTCATACTGTACTTAATGAACACTGAAAAACCAAATAGTTCCTTCATGCAAAATAGTTTATAACACATAAATTTCACCCTCCATTAAAATCGCCAAGGAATTAACTGTTTTTAATGGAGAAAAGAGTTTAGGGGTCGTGGGTTGGTCTAGTTGTCAGTTTAAAACAGTGAGCCAAAAAAAGGCTCGGTTTTAATCATATCTTCCTGCATGTTAGGGGGTTTGCTACTAGTAGGTGAACACAACACTGTGCTGACAAACAAATAAACGCAGTTTGAACATTCCTAAGACTGCAAATGTAAAGTTGATCATGCAAAACCTCCAGTCTAAGAATATGTGATGAGAAAATTTCAGCAATTCTACACATGAAGGTCCCTTCCCATGACTCAAACGTCGGAGACTGTGTGTACACGCAAGGCCATAAGAAAGTCGGATTCAAAGATATCCTTATTGTCTAAGGCAGTATTACATATTTTACTTAAACTTGCTACAATTTTTGCCTTCCAATACCATCTCATTTAATTCCCAGCCTGTATCAGCTATTTACAGTCTCATATATGCCACCAACTCCTGGATACTACTGGAACAGGTCAAAATCAGGCCAGAGTAGTGACACTGTTTGCTGGTTTTGGGGGTTTTTTTGGTTTTGGTTTTTTTGGGGTTTGGGGGGGCGGCAGTGTTTGGGGTGTTATTTGTTTTGGTTGTTGGGGGTTTTTTGTTTTGTTTTTTTTTAACTACACTTCACCCATACTGTAGTCATCATACCAACTACACAGAAAAAAAGGGACTGAGGAATATACAAGCCCAATTCCCTCAAACAAGTTTAAGGAAATCTAGAAATCCCATATGAAATCTCAATACAATAAAAGTAAATTGGGAGTAAAAGAAAGTATTTTCAATATCAAACTATTAGATGAAAGGACGGTAACCTTTCACTTACCTATTGTGATGATGTTTGCGGAGAGGAAGTGGAAACAGTTTCCATCATGGAGCATGAGTTCTTCTCTTGGTGTCAAATCCTCTGCTACAAATTTTGGAGAAGTCAGAGCCATCTCAAGCTTTCAGAGCAGCCTAGCAACAGTGCTTGCTCCACATCAAAGTATTTCAGAACAGATATCTGCAGAAAGATTCAGCCAAGTAATAAAAGTATCTGAGAAAAGTCAAGAATTTCAGGATGTTGTTGGCTTACTTTGGAAGTCACAGCCAGCACCTTCTCTGGAATTCCACATTCAGGAGACTGTCCTGGTTTAATCCTGCTGACACATGTTCCATGCATTGAAGAATAAAATTGATAGTAACAGTGTGGAGAAAGAACTACCACTGAGCTCAGTCTTGATGGAATGGATGCGATGGCCCTTCCCAGGAGCAAAGTAGTTACAAGTATTCAGTGTATCTTCCCAGGGTCTCTTGCACGTTGCAAACCTGGAGAAGACAATTTTTTTAAATAATGGAAGTTGCTTTAACTGTTTATTATACAATATTTACTGCAGGAACATAGCTAGATGACATACAATGGACAGGCCTCAGCAGTTGCTTATACCCAGGTAGCTCCTCACATAACAGAAGCCACCGACTCTTCTTTCCCTCACCCCAGTATTTTCTATAATCACAGAAATCTATGCTTTTGCCAGCAGCAACTTCTCCAGAAACCAAACTACTCATGCTGGGTTTAATTTTTTGTATATATACACATACATATAGTATATACACATACACTTAACTCAATCATTCTACATAAGTGAATGTATCAGCTATATTCCCAAAGGACAGCTTTGAGAACTATCTGCTGTGATGCTGGCTTGTTCATTCAGTTCTGTCTCTTACCCTTTAAAGCTCTTTTCTCCTCTTACCTGCTGTCAACTGTCTCCATGCTGTATCTCTTTATCATTATCTGGCATTCTCCTTCCCTTTTCTTACCTATCTCCTACCCACTGGCTACAGAAGACTCACCTTTCCAAAACCTTCAGACGGATACCTTCCTCAGAGAAAGAAGGTCAAAGGCTCACTCCAAAACAGCAATCACACAAGACAGAAACCTGGGATCCTACCTTGTGCTGGTAACTGTTTGAATCTATGGGAGTCTCCTTCAGTTTGTAATTACAAGTTGAGCTCTGAAACATTGCCCTAACATGTTTTGTTGTGAAAGCACAGATCCAGTTTGACATTATTTTAAAAGAGAGAGGGCAATGAGGCATCACTATTAATTTACAGTGAGTAGAAATAGAGCAGGGGGTTGAGACATTTGTAGCAAAACATGACTAAGAGGTGTCCCTGTTACAGCATGACAGGTTGAAGTTGTACCTCTCTTCTTGCCTTTGGTCCCTCATTCAGCTTCTTTGGGAAGTCATTTCCTCTCTATGACTATCTTTTTACCAAGCCCCACCTTCTCCATTCTTTATCTTGTCAAAATCTCCTCTGTTGAGAGGGAGCATGGCAGTCAATGAAGTAATACCCATACGCGGAGCCAAATGCATAGCAACTTCATATATGGGACAGCAGTGCTTAGCAATATTAATTCTGTGGAAATTCAGCATCATTAAAATCACTTGTTTCCATATTTAGATGGGAAATATATCAAAGGGTATCCTGTGGCTCTGAAATAATTTTGGGTATATCAGTGGCTGAAATTCATTTGGCAAAGAATATGTTTATTACAAAGCACAGCTAGAGTCACCAAAACCAAAATTATACACTTATGACAGATTTCACAAACTGACTGGATTGAAAGGGGAGGGAGGTAATAGGTTACCAAAGATACTCCCCGTCCCCCCACATATACATCCTTGTACATGCTGTCATCTGTCTCTGTATTTGTATCCCTTCATCATCGTCTGATATATACATATACATAATTTGTTATAAGAATACAGGGCAAACATTCTGCTTTAGACTGAACAAAACCAATTCATACATTTCCATGTATTTATTTTGTGCATCCCAAAATAAATGTTTTTTTCCTTTAAGTTAATCATCAAATTAATACCAAAAATATATTTACATACAAACACAGAGCTGACTTGCCAAGGCTCATTCTAAGCTTTTCTATCCTGTATATACTTTTCACTAGACCCTTTATGAAGGCACATTTGTGATTCTAACACTTTTTGAAGTCCAGCCGCAACTCTTTGGCTTATAGGATTACTTGCTTCTACACATAAGCTGTGGCTTCTATGACACCAGAAAAAAAGGTAAGCATTCATAACTCTTTCTTGGCAAGACACACCATTTTAACACTGGAGGTGCACCTCTTGCTGCAGTTCATTTGGGAATGTTCTGATGAAACTAGAACTGTTTCTCTCCACTCTTACTGATCTGGTAAAAAGAAGTTACTACTGCTACTACGTCTTCAATGTTCTACTATGACTATAATATGAATGGCATAGCAGCGTGTGTTCAGCTGAACTAATACTATGCATGTCGAGGAGGAGTAGGAACAATGTACTTGCTTCAAGTAGGGGTCAAACACAGTAGATGCTGGACTCAACTCAGCAGCAAGCCTGAGTTATCTACCAATAGAATCTGGGGGCAGATACCAACTTTTTGCTGCAACTCACTGTACGTGTAACAAGCATCTAATAAAACAGAGTACTAATTCATGGCTGTAGTATGCTATCACGACCACCCTGTAAAAGCATGTTGATAGATCTATTGATCTCACTTGTATTTTCACATGTAGCTGTCTATATGACAACGCTTGTCTCCTGGTTACCACTAACAGCTGTCTTATCAGCATTATGGAGTTTGCAAACTGAATCCCACACCCTGGGTTAATTTCTCTATTCCATATAAGGTGACAATATGAGAAACTCATCCTACAGCTACCGGTCAACTTCTGTCTCACAAGCTGTCTGCTAAATGCTGCTCTAATAGAAGGTTAACAGTGCAAAAACTCTGAGTGTATCAAGTCTATAACCCTTTCTAGATATTACTATGGTTTTACTGGCTGTTTTAAAAATCAAGGACAAAAGAAACCCTGCAACCTTTCACCTGTATCCAATCCAATCCCTACACACATCTTACACCACAGACAACAGAAAATATCACCACCTAGTCATGGTGTGTTGCCCTCTCCTCTCTCCTCCCACCCAACTCTCAAACATGGAATTTTTGGAGGACTCTAAAATCCAAAACAGATACTGAAGAGTTAGTCAAAGAAAACAAAAGAAACAAACAAGGAAGCCTCTTTTCTGTCTGTCTTTCAGTGTGAAAGCCGTGGGGTAAAGTAGCTTCTGAAATTTAAGTTTCAACTGTGAGTGAACACATATATACATTTAAAAATGGGAGAAAATTGTAAGCAGCTTTTGTTTCTAGTCAGTACATGTTCTTCAAATAAGTATGTACCATGGATACCCCGTTCCCTTTATTTTTTTAAAGGAATTGAGAGTTCTCCCTTTCTGCTTGTATCTACCCACTACCTATAAAATCCTATAGCTTAAACATAAGTCTCTCAAAAATAAGACAGTCTTGTTATCTCAATACACAGCACCTAGTACAGGTCTCCCTGAAAGGGTTTGTGCAACTGAAAGAATAGTAACATGTTAAAAAAATGGAAAGAACTTCAGCAAAGGCATTATCTTAGTTTTTACACACAGAGCAACAGCATTGCAGCCAGGTTAAACCAAAGAAAAAAACCTACACAGCCAGAAAACAGTCATTGCACACACTACTCAAATTTCTGTGTCAGTGACTAGAAGATATCTGCAAATATAGTAGCTGAAACTCAGTATTCAACTGTGCAAACAATTTACCAAGAATCAGACTCCTCACCTGAAGGGAAAGCCTGGGCTGCGTTCAGTGTTGATCCTGCTTTGAGCAGAAGGTTGTACCAAACAACCTACCTTCTGAGGTCCCCTCAGACTTGAATTATTCTAGGAACTGAAATGAATTTGTTACTTGAAGTAGAAATTGTATGATACTCATCAGGAGAATTAATGACCCTATAACCCACCAGGTCCTTACGTGGATTAAAATACAAGAGAAATATTTTTTTGTTAATGGTTTCTGTAGAATTATCAAAGATCCCAAAGCTAACAAAGAGCTATCAGACTCCTTTAACAGCATCACCTTATCCAGTAGTGATGTCATTAAAGCACGCAAATGCTGTAACAAGTAAAGCTGTTGTTCTCAGATGAAGTGAGCGACATTTGCTTAAGACTAAACTTTTCTGTTATTACATTTGTTGTGGCTGCTACTCCCATACATTATTTATACTTTGCATTTATGTAAACTTTTGCTGAAGACAGAAAATATGCTGAGAGAGAGCATAGCTGAGGAAAAGTCTTAAGATAGGATCCTGCCTTATTCATTCTCCCCTGTAGCCTCTCCCTATACCTTCCAAAACCAAAGTTAGGTAACAGATTTTCCTTGTCTAACTTTCCCATCCTACTCAATAAGCATCTTCAAAATTTCCTGGGCATGACAAAATATATTATGTCAAGAAAGGTAAACTGAATACAAGGAAGAAGTGAAGTAGCTGTAGTGAGATAGATAAATGCACATTTGTTCAGTATATTTGCTTTCACTGCACCTGCCCCTGATTTACAGTGAATGAGAAAAGACTCAAGAAGGTTTTTTTAGGACTTTAGGACAGAACCAAAACAAGATGTTAGAAGGCATCTCAGGAGTTAAATCAACTGTGTCCACTGAAAAAGCCAAAACTGCACTCAACTGCATTTCTGGAGCTACTCCATTGTTCTGAGCAAGTACTTCTACAGATGACAGGCACTGCCTCACAGCAGGCGAGTTATCTGTCTGCTTTGGTCATCTGGGCAACTTCTCCTAACCACAATTTTATAGCCACCAGCCAAAGCGCCATTTCTGGTACATGCACATTAAATGTTTAACCCTGAGATTAATCCAGGAAGCCACAGCTCATAGGACAGATGAAAACGTTTTAACATTGAGACAAGATCTATCCATTTCCTTTTCAGAAAGTTGAACTGATTGGTAGTTATTTTGCCAGACTCTCTCACCTCTTTGCTTTAGGGTTTTTTTGAGAGGTCATTTCCTTTGTAGGAAGTTCAATCACCGTGACTCATTATACACCAAAGAACATATCCATGAGCGTGAGGAAGACTTAATGGGCACAGATGTTCATGCTGGTACATACTGGCATCGTTTCAGTGAAAGCAGATGAGCTGCAATACTTTACATTG